TACCCACCCTTCTCATCCCATGTGGGAAGCTAGCCTAGCTAAGAACCTTGTTCCAACACACCTCCTTCCCGCTGCAGATACAGCAGCACTGACCCAGATCATCTGCACATCTGTCCCTTGCCTATTCACCTCTCACTCCAACTTTCCATGAACATACCTTGCCACCACACAAAAATGTTTGTGTCAGTTTATGCTGTTATTTGCTAGCCAGACGTCTATTCTGCACCTTTTTCATATACTAAAACAATATAGGGACTAAGTCAAACACCAGATCACCTGCTGCACTTTCTAAGTTCTTCCTATATTGGTTTTTTTTTTTTTTTTCTGGTGCCCACACATTACCAGACTCCTCTTCTACAGCTCCTCACAAATGACAGTAACACCTGTGGTGCGCTTCACAGCGTTGAAGAAAAAGGTGGCACCCTGAAAGTCATAAACTTCTCAAAGAGTTCTAGTCCACTAGTGGGCACGAGGTGGGTCCCCGATAGCTTTTTGTTTTGTTTTGCTTTGTTTTATCTTGCTTTAGCTGAAAGAACCCAGTGGACACTGTCTCAGAAACTACTGCTATTTAGAAGACGAGAAAGAGTTTGGGTATTGAGTGAGCTACACTTACAAATGTAGGCCATGGCCTTTAGTTAGTTTAATCAGTGCTTTGATGTGTCTATCTTTGGGCAAACATTGTTTCCTGCCACAGTCTGTCCTTGGAGGGCAGCAGCCAGCCATTACTCACAAGTGAATAATCATTTATACCACAGGTATACGCCCATCTATTATGTTGAATGTCCAAACTGAGCAGTCGCACTAGTATCTGGCTACATATTTTTAAAACAGCATCATGTATCTACTTGCAAAGAAACAACAATACAACACAACCCAACTTTCAGAAGTCCAAAGAAAAATGATTTTCTTCCTCAAACGCCTCTGACAAGAAAACACACTCTTCACAATTTATCTGCAGAATATGAATTTCCACTCTAATCAGATAATTTAACTTAGGGAAGAGAGCAGGGCTTCTTTAACATGCCCACCATCCCTTTGTCTAGCTTGGGAAACCACAAAGGAAGGCTTGCTGTGTTTCTATGTCCGCAGGCCTAATGGCACCCTCCAGGAAGACACAGCAGGATGCTTCCTGTCACTTCTAACCTCTTCAAAATGAAATGTACAACATTTAAAAAGAAGAAATACCAAAAAGCACAAACCTTGGCATATTTAATCATGTATATGCGAATGTGTATATCACACATTACATATTAATCATATATATATATATATATATATATATATTATATTCATCCATCTATATATGGATGACTATACAGATTGTCAATAACCAGGACATCACTAGTTCTGGGGGTCAACTCAAATAAGCAAACCATGAGAAAATTGTGGCAGATGTCAGGACCACTCCTCCGTACACAGAAAATCCTTTTTATAATAAAAAGCACAAAAGAGATACAAGAAAGCTAAGGGCAGCAAACACTGTATACAGCATTTGCAAATTACAATATTTGCCATTTGCTTTGTTTTGAGTTCTTACTGATCTTCTGTACTTAATGTGGAATTACACACATGTACACACATGTACCCATAAACATGTGAAATACACACACACACATACACACACACACACGCCACAATCACACACACACACATATATACATACATATGTATGTATATATGTGTGTATGTATATATATATATATATATATATATATATATATATATATATATATGGACATAAAAATGAAAAGGAAACACCCTAAAGTCAGGTTTCTTTTGTTTTTTTTTTCTTTTTTGGGGGGAGTGGGGGGTTTCGAGACAGGGTTTCTCTGTGTAGCTTTGGAGCCTGTCCTGGAACTCATTCTGTAGCCCAGGCTGGCCTCGAACTCAGAGATCCGCTTGCATCTGCCCCCCGAGTGCTGGGATTAAAGGCATGCGCCGCCGCCACCACCACCTGGCTTCAGGCCTTTGTCTCCCCAAAACACACTTTTGTCCCAGTCATGTTTCCTCACAGCTTCCCACTACCTGGTCCTTGCCAGAAGAAAGGTCATTCTCGTCTTTCTTCTCTGAATTCTCCCACGTGTTTTCTTTTAAAATGGCAATCAGAATTATATGAAGGATACTTTATCATGAAAATTTTCAAGTATAAACAAAATTGACTTTGCTGATTCAATTATCCAAACAAGTAAACTCTTAGTTAAAATATAAATATCTGGCTGACTCAGCTGTCCAAATAAAGTAAAATCTCAGAATACAACAACCATACACCATAAAACATTACCAAGACGCTTCTTTCCAGAAGGATTGGTAGGAGAGGCTTTCTGGACTTTGGGGTATTTGCAGGGACTTTATTGGTTGACTATTCTTTATCCAAAACCCTGAAAGCTGACATGTTCTGGTTTCTTGAATATTTGGATGGTCCCCTCTTAGAAGGCTTCAGATTTGGGAGGATTCTAGATTCCAAGTTATAGCTATTTCACTTTTATTCCAAAACATGAAGAGAAGCTGAACGATTTTCTTGATCAGTATGCTCTGTTCTTCTTTTCTAATCTGCCCATATGTAAACTTATGTTCAGAAAGTCATGTGTTGGAGTTTGTTCCTTACCGTAGCTGCTGTGGTCTGAACACTTAGGTCTCCCCCAGATGCCTGTGTTGAAATCTAATACCCAATTTGAGAGACTTGGGAAGGCTGCATGAAAGCGACTCCAAAGCTCTTGTAAATGGAATCTGTCTATAGACTGAGGCCCCTGCCCTCAAGCTCCTCCCGTGAAAGGACACAGGGGAAGCCACTGTCTGTGAACCCGGGAACAGGCCCTAACCAGGGGACAGTAAATCTGCCAACACAATGATCTCGAACTTCTCAGGCACTGGTATTATGAAAAAATAGATTTCTGTTGCTTAAAAAAGAGTTGGCTTTGGATAATTTTGTATAGCAGCCTAGGCATACAAAGACATTGGCTTTCTAGTGAATTAAACATAAAAATGTTTTCTCCCCTTTACCAAAATGTTAGAATAAGTCCTTTTTACCCACCTTCTTTGCCACTATTATTTTATCTTTATATTCACCTACTGGAGGTTCCACAAGATCCTGCCTTCATTACAAAATACAAACATCCCTCCATGAAAAGCTGTATACTGGCACGTCCCCATACCTATTTCTGTACTGACTACAAGGCTTTCCTCCCCTCATGTAAAGTTATAGGTAATTGATTAAAGATTTCAACACATCTTCATATCTCTGTCCTGAAAATTACTAAAAGGAGCCAGGTAAGCTCTTTATGGAATCAAGCGTCTTTATGGACGGCCCTGAGGCTACATAAAGGATTAGGTCTCAGGGATAAAACCTCAGGCGCCCAGTTCTTCCACAATTTTCCTGTGTTTTCTTCTAGGACAGGCTAATCAAACAGAGATGACTGAGCCATCCCAGAAAACACATTACCCTAAACATTTATTGCATGTTTCGTTCCAGCTATAACTATCACCTCCATGAACACCTACTGCATTCGTGAATTAACATGAAATCTTCACTTGAAGCTGCACATTATCATGTGAAAAGGAGAAAAAAATAAACTAATAAAATATCATGTCATTTGTTCTTATTGGGTTACAAATAAATGTAATCATAAAGATATTATCCAATGCTTACACATGATCATTAAAGTGTAGAAGGCAATTATAATCAAGTTTTAAGATAATTCTGCTGCTATGGGTTCTTAACTAGTATTTAAAAACTAATTTTATTTCATCATATTTTCAGAGTTTCAGCCCTGGAGAAAGCCAAGCACCACCATGTCCTTGTATCATTAGGAGGAGATAAGACAACACTCCATCGGATAATATGGAAGCTGGGGCTCACTCTGGGGTGCACAGGGTAGGTTTATGGCTTGATTTAGTGACAATAGCCCAATACATGGTTACTCCCAACAGAACAAATGCTTTCTGCTGTCTAACACTGAAACTGCTAACCAAAAATAAACTATGCATGATGTCAGTTTCTTGGGACCGGGTATCCTGAAGGACTTTTCAATCAGCAAAGGTCTATTCTGATACTCAAGGAAGCACATCACTGTGCTAACAGTCACATTCAAACAAGCTCTTCAAGAACGACAGCAAAAGCATATGAATACTCCGACGATGAAAAACACAAGTGTATATGAAACACTTTCAATGTCTCCTTTCTTCCAAATATTCTGCCTTGAAATGTTTTTCCCTTGCGAAGTTAAAAATATTTTTTTAAAAAATAAACATTTTTAGCTCCACTGAAAATAAAAGCCTATACACTCAGCAAACTCCATAAACAGTATATCAAACTCTCTAGGTATTAGATGCTCTGTTTATAATAAGATTGAATTTTTATGACACAAGAGTAGCATCCTTACAACAAATACATCTCTTTCTAAGAAAAGTGACAGAGCAACAGCATCTAGGAAGTAAAGCCTAGGCACAAGACAGTGGAGGAAGGAGCCCACACCGGCCTCCTTAGTCAAGTCAGTGCTTCTCCCACTTTAGTGTGGACCAGGACTCAGAGGACTTAATCAAAACATAGAACGCTGGGCCTGACCCCAGGGACTCAGAGCCTGAGAATTGACATTTGAACACATTCCCTGGTGCTGACGAGAGGATGCAGCCTGGGGATCATCCTCAAAGCACCATTCACTCTGTTTCACTTGGACACGGCCACCACCTCTGTGGGAGGCTGAGGTCACGTTGTCTAACCTTGCCTTATGGTAGGGTTTCTGCTGACAAAACATGGCCAATTAGTTATACCTGCAGCAACAGTGTAGTACATCACTTTTGAGAACACAGTAATTCAATCTTGTAGACAGTGAAAATAAAAATATTTCTATGCACAGACAATATTAATCCCTTAAGGATGCCCAGATTCAACAGTAGAAGCAGATGATGTGTAAGGTGCCTGAAGGCTCACTGGGAGGTAGGATCTTTGACTGACTGTTCTATATAGTGGTTGGTGTACCTTGGCCTCCATGGTTGGGTCTTACCTGTGACTGGGGCATCAATATCCAGCAAGTTTTTTTCCTGTCGAAGAATCGAAGCACCCTCTGTTATTATTCTCAAGGCGACACTTTCTTCCAGCCTGCCCTCTTTCATGAGATGTGCTTTTAAGATATCCACACGAGGCTTCCCGTCATTATCAAACACTTCCTTTGCTGTCAGCCGGTGACTTGGCGGAAATGGAACAGCTGAAAGAAGAGAAGTCCAAAGGTTACTTACTACATTAACCAAAGCACAGCCACAATGGACTGCCGACCACCGAGTAGGCACTCCATCGCTAACCAGCTAATGCTGTCTTTAATACATTCTCCAATTAAAAAGCAATCAGGGTCTGTCAAGAGTTAAAGACTGACTTCTTCCTTTGATTCGAGAAATAATTAGTGGCCATGGAAAAGGGGCTTATGATTCTTCTCAGTCAATACTATTGTTTACATATGAAAGATCGTGATTGAGTTTATTTAATCTCTAAAAAGAAAACTTCCTGTTAGGCAATCACCAATTCCATAAATGAAAACAGACCCTAAACATACATTTAAAATCCACAACAGCAGAGATGGTTTTGCTCTGCTGGGACCAATGCAAGGGATAAGGCAACTCAACACGTTTGTCTATTCCAACTGAAGTCCCATCTCTGAGTCCAAGCCCTACTACTAACTACTCACCATTACAGGAAAGAACAGAAGTTTTAAAGCAAAAGACACAAAATGAACTGAAACTTGAGCAGGAAGGTCAAATTTACATTTGAAATTATGTCAACAACTCAATCCATAACACATCTGCCACACAAGCTTGAAGACTAGGGTTCAATCCCCAATACATATTTCCAAAAGGCCATGCACAGTGATGTATGCTTGAAATTCCAGCGCTGGGGAGGCAGATTCTAGGGTTCTGTGATGACTGTCCAGCCACCTTAGCCTAACCTGTGTGTCTCAGGTCCCAGTGAGAGACCAAACCTCAATATGCAAGACTGAGAACCTCCTAAGGATCAACACACACACACACACACACACACACACACACACACACACACACACACACACACACACCACATCACACCACACACATGACATTATGAAGAGGGAGGAAGGAACTAGTGTCGTAGCTCGATAGGTAAAGTACATGCAGTGTAAACATGAGGACTCACACTAGGATTCCCTAGTATCCACAGAAAACGCCAGGCTTGGTCATTCACCTGCAGGAGGTGGCAAAGAGAAAGGCAGATCCTTGGAGCTCAAAGGCCAGCCAATCTAGCCCAAAGGGCAAGCTCTAGGTTCAGTGAGTGATAATATCTCTCAAAATAGTAAGGTGAAGGGGGACAGAAGACCCTGGCATTGGCCTTTGAGTCCCTCAAGCATGTGTACACATATGCACCCACATACACACTGCATATACAGATATAAATATGAACACACACACATATACATAAACACATTTTTAAAAGAAAGACACAATATAAAGTCAGACAAAAACAATCAGGAAAACATCATGAAGACAAATATTATGATTGCTTAGGTAAAAGAAACAAAAAAAAAAACTCGGTCCCTCTTCCATCTATCCTGTGCATCTGTACAGTGAACATTTCTCTGGTAGCGACCTTCATTCTAACATCTGTTGAATACCTGCCACATGCTCTCTCTGCCCTCATGGATTCACCAAGCTCCGAGAGGTGCCAGGACATTCAAAGATCCACTGTCAGAGATGGGTATCATGAGTTCTAGTAAGCAGGCCATGAGCTGCTCTAAAAACTCATTACTTGTCTGTTTCATACAAGAATGCATCCATTGGACAACTCAGGTCCATTGGCATCATCAACAGAACTTGCCTGTGTCACACCCACTATGCCGTATTCCTAAGGGCATCTTCATTAGGACCCTTCACTCAGCAAAAACACTTGATTTCCAAACAAGTAAACAAGAGAACTGTTCTCCTACTGTACAATATACTGCCTCAAAGAAGCAAGACTCATGTAGATACACGACAAGAAATGTGTGCAATCTAACAGCATACTCTTGTTACCAGGATAAAATTGTAAAAACTTAAAAAAAAAAGAACAATGACCAGAAAATAAACTTTTCCATGTGGATGCAGTCATGGCTTTCCTCACAGTCTAACCATTACACACATCTGACAGAGCCGGAGCAATGAAGAGTCAGCGGCAGACTCCATGGATGACCAGGAGGCTTTTGTGCCCAGACCAGTGAACATGGGTATAAACCTTAGCTCTGAACTCTCAGCTCTACGACCTTGGAAAAGTTAAATAGCCTCCTCTGGCTTCAGTTACCTCGTCTGTACAGTGGGATTACGTCCATTTGAAGAGTGTTATAATAACTGAAGTAAATAGTAAGAATGGCAACTAACAGCTACAGCGCTGTTATTCTATGCCAGGCACTGTGTGGGTAATAAAATCAGACACAATGGGAAATTATAAGACTAATAAAGCATATGTACATGTGTTTATGTACAAATTCATGGAGTCCCCAGAACAGTAATGTGTGGGAGAGAACTGAGGTTCAAGAGTATTAAGCAATTTGCCCAAGATAATCACCTAGTGATTTATGTGTAAACTGACTTTAAACCTAGGCAGTCTGATGCCAGGATACTCATGTTAACAATAACTATACTACTCCCCCAAAAAGTACTCAAGACAACACATACTCATTAAAAAACCATCAGTAGATCATGTTTCAGAACTGAAATTCTGAGGCGAGAGATGCTTCTTGTAGATTAACAGTTTTCCTGTAACAAAACAGTCTTTATTTTCAAAGGGATATATTGAGCTGTTCTGTAACAGGCAAAGCAGGATGTCAGTGCATAATCATTCCTCACAGAAGGGAGAAAAGGAGGATATCATGGAGCTTAGAAATCCTGTTGCCATTGGTTCTTGACCCTCGCCAATATTTCTTGCCTGAATGTTTGTTAGGAAAATGTGGAGGGCCAGGGAGATAGTTCCAGCAGAGCCTGGAAAAAGCCTGAGTTTGATCAGGAGCACCAGGCAGGCACTCCTTCATGGAAGGATCCATCAAATTCACTGGCCTGCACGCCAGCCTTGCAGTGAACTGCAATCAGTGAGCTCCAAGTCCCAGTGAGAGAATTTCTATCTGAAATGACAACGTGACCAGTTCCTAAGAAATGACACCAGAAGTTGAACTCTGCCCTCCACAGGCACTCAAATATGTGCACACATCCAGGAATAAAGAAGGCACAGAGACATTGCAATAGCCACATTTCTTTTTTGAGACAGCATCTCACTATGTAGCCATGCCTGTCTCAAATTTACAGAGATCTGCCAGCCCCTGTCTCCCGAATGCTAAAAGTATGTGCCATGACACACAGCAATAACTATCTTTCATAACCTGAGACTTTATGCATGTTTTGAGGTTCACAGATCTCTTTCTTGCCATTTCTCAAAGTTAATTAGCCATAAGTCAAAGGGACATCTGATAGATGGAAAGGTGTAGAAGGGGAACCATCAAAAACATCCTTGGCATTATAGGCAAGAGCTGGTTTTTAAAATAAATATCATTTCCCAAGGTTCAAGTTAGGCAATTGTGAAGGTTTAAGTGGTTCTGTGAAGCTGCCACACAAGATGGATAGGCACACAGGAGGGAAGGAGGGAGCCCGTCAGGTGGAGGGAAGTGATGACCTCATTAAACTAATGTAGAGCAAAGGACTCAACCTGAAAGCTGCAAAACATCTAAGATGAGGCACAAAGGAAGAAAACCTAGGACAGTCTCCTCTTCAGAATTTGACTTTCTCTCAGACCTCAGACCTGGGCTCTCTCCATAGCCAAGACCAGGGCAACAACAGATTTTTCACACGTCATTGCAACATTTTTACATTTTATCTATTATTTGTGTGTGTGCACGCGTGTGTGCATGTGCTCTCGAATGCACGTGCACACACATACACTCACAGAAGTCCAAGCACAGCTTTGTGAAGTGGGATCTCTCCTTCATTCTATACATGGGTTCCAGGGATTGAACTCAGGTTACCCTGCTTGGGCAGCAAGGGCAGTTAGCTACAGGGCTTGGCTGAAGTAAAGCTACCCTTTCTGAGATTGAGGTGCTGTTTCCGAACAAACAGCATCAACAGGAGGAGGAGGGAGAGGAAAACAGCCAATAGGAGGTCCCGTTTCCCATTGGCTGAGAGGAACACTGATATGCCCTGGCCTCTCAGCAGGTCAGACAGATGGCAAGGCCTGTAGGAGGCAAGTTGGGCTGCCAGGATGCCAATACTGATACGCAGGGAGGCTGAAGGCCAAGGAGAAGTTTTCCAGAACAAAAATAAAGAGTGGACTAATATTTGTGTATTTGTGCACCTTTTGGCTTCACAGGAAAAAAAATACCAGCCTTCCAAAGGTCACATTTATTTGCTTTCTCTCTTCACCTAGAGCCCTACATGGAGACCTGTGCCAAATGTTGAGTAAAAACTATTTGGACCAAAGAACCCCATGTGCTTGGAAAATATTTTTTCCCCATTAACTCATTGTGAAAGTGTCTGTGCTTAACATAATAAACTTGGAGTTCTCCCTCCTTCCTTTACTTTGAATACTGCAGTCAAGTGCTTTCTATGATACGGGTTAGACCTAGAGAAGCAAAGTTTCTGAATGCTACTAAAACTTATCAACAGCTACTGTGATTGAACTAGGCCTTCCTGAGACATTTTTTTTTCTATTTTCATTTTTATGTATTTATTTATTTTTGGTTTTTCTAGACAGGGTTTCTCTGTGTAGCTTTGGAACCTATCCTGGAACTCGGTCTGTAGACCAGGCTGGCCTCAAATTCACAGAGATCAGCCTGCTTCTACCTCCTGAGTGCTGAGATTAAAGGCGTGCGCCACCACGTCCAGCAACCATTTTCTTATACTTGCCTTAAATGCAGAATAATCTTATAATACGTCTTAGAAACATGCTACAGAGAAATGAGAACATTAAGCTTTCTCTAATTTCACCATATCTTTAAATTAATAACATGACAAATACTAGGTAAAACGTGGGATGAGGGATGACGAAACTCTTCCATGACTAAGATAAAATTGCTTTTAAGAACAATTTTGTGGACTGCGGTCATGTTCTCCCGTCACAGACGGAGGGAGCCTGGTAGGCCCATCTCCAATGGTCAAAAGATGTAAGTGTTTCTTTTTCATGTGACAATTCCACTAGAGCTCAGCTGTGTGACAGGGGGAAATG